CCACGCTTGGCACCTCGCTGGTTGCGTAAGGCCCGGCTCTCACCTCTCCGGTGTCGTCTCTCTCCCCGCTCCTTCGTGTTGCAGATGCTGGCTACGAGTTCGACATCTGCTTCACCTCGGTACAGAAACGGGCCATCCGCACTCTCTGGACCGTCCTGGATGCCATCGATCAGATGTGGTTACCTGTTATCCGAACCTGGCGCCTGAATGAGAGGCACTATGGGGCTCTTACGGGATTGAACAAGGCTGAGACGGCGGCAAAGCACGGCGAGGCGCAGGTGAAGATCTGGAGGCGCTCGTACGACATCCCTCCACCTCCCATGCAGTCTGATCACCCCTTCTACAGCACCATTTCCAAGGTAAGACCCATGCTGGGAGGCTCCTAAAAGCCACATTGTGTCTCTGCAGGGTCATGGCTTCCTCTACAAGGTCTCTTCTGTCTCTGTTGCAGCAGCCAGGGCTGTTGTGCATGATGCTGGTTGGCTTTAGGCTGTTTGTCCCACTCCCTCCCGAGGGAGTTGAACCCCTGAGCATTGCACAGGCAGATTCAAACCAGAGGGGATGATACTTCTGTTAATGATTAGTCCCATGAGCTGTGCATGGAGGTTTGCTTTGGTGTCTTTGCCCAGAGCAAGAAACATGTGGCTTTCTCTGGGAGGGCCTCAGCCCTGGTTGCAGCCTCAGGCCCCAGAGGTGCTTCTTTGCTTCCAAGCCTGCCTAGCGGGTCCTCAGGTGGAGAATTCGGGGGAGGGACAAAGGCCTTGCCACTGCCTTCCCACACTGCTTGGGGGCACTGGGCTGCTGCATGAGCGTGGCTGTTCCCCCCAGGACCGTCGCTACGCTGACCTGACAGAGGACCAGCTGCCAACATGTGAGAGCTTGAAGGACACCATTGCCCGGGCTCTGCCTTTCTGGAATGAGGAAATTGTCCCACAGATCAAAGAGGGCAAGCGAGTCCTTATTGCTGCCCATGGCAACAGCCTGCGTGGGATTGTCAAGCACCTGGAAGGTACATCAGCCCTGTAGGGGTATCGCAGGGGTCTCCCTGTCCCCCTGGTGTAGGCAGGGCCATAAATAATGGCACCTCTGTGTTTGCAGGCATGTCAGAAGAGGCCATCATGGAGCTGAACCTGCCTACTGGCATCCCCATCGTCTATGAGCTGGACAAGAACCTGAAACCTGTCAAGCCCATGCAATTCCTGGGGGATGAGGAGACGGTGCGCAAGGCCATGGAGGCTGTGGCTGCTCAGGGCAAGGTCAAGAAGTGAGGGCGGGCAGCAGGCTAGCACGTAGTAGAGGCCCCCGCCACCCCCTCCCCTCTGTGCACACCCCCCACAGCCACAGGAACTTGGAGCTGCGGAGCTGAAGCAGCTCCCCAGGATTAGCCCTATTTGCTTGGGACCAGGCTTCCCTCTGCAGACAGCCTGGGGTGAGGGGCCGTGTGTGGAGGTCTGTGTGAAAGAGTGCTGGCTTTGCCAGGTAGTGACCACACACCTCTCCTTGCCAAGATCCCAGCCCTCAGGCCCTGTCTGCAGCGGGATGTGCTGAGCAATCCCTTGCGGTGCCAGGCTCCTCTCCTTTGCTTCCCAGCAGCTCTTGTCACCCAGTTACTGTAGTTTTGTTGCTTGGTTTAGTCATCCTGGGAGCAGTGGGGTGAGCACAGCGCAGGCAGTGACCAAGGTGGGGACCCCATCCCTTTGTGGGTTTGTGACTGGGATGTGTGGATGCTGAAGGGATTATGTTTTGGTGTAAGTGGTACTTGTGACCCTGGACGTAGCTCTGCCACCCCCTGCTTTAACTTATTGCCTCTGGACAAGGGCGAGGGAGGGAGCCTGTCGCCCAGAGATTCATGACCACCACATACCTCCCCCAGCTGAAGCCCATCCCAGTCCTGCTGGTGAATCAGATGTCACTGTCCCCACCTAACCTGTGTGTACGTGGCCCTGTTGCTGTGGCCTCCCCCTCTGCCAGCACCGTGAGCCTGGAGCCGGGGGGAGGGCCTGTAACTGTCCAATGTTCGCAGCTGTCTTGTTCCACCTCAATAAAGGAGTAATGCGCAATAACGGGGTGTCTGAGCATTGCTGTGCCAGACGTGTGGGGCTCCCCCCCTGCCCTGCCTGACACCTCGTGTACGAGGCAGCAGTTGGGAGCCAAGCTCAGCTCTGCAATCCAGCCCTTGATCTGTGGTTTTGGGGCACACCCAGAGGCAGGCAGGGTATGTGTGGCTGGAGGATACTGAGCAAAGTCGCCCCACACCGCTTATCAGGGCAAGGATGTGAGCTGTTCCCTCTGTATGGAAACCTGGTGAGATGAATGCTCAGAGCTCCAGGGTGTTCGCATCACTGGCAGCATTGCTGGGCGGGGAACATGTGCTTCCTCATGGCATGGTGGTGTGGAAGCTGCCCCATAGCAGCTCCCCTATGGGAGCCAGAGCAGCCTGTGCAGCCCCGCCTGTGCAGCCCCGGCCACCTCTCTGGGCTCTTAACTGGTCAGAGCACAGAGCTCTCAAAAAATATTTATTATCTGAAAGTCAAAAATCCATCCTGCCAGTGACAGCCTGGCTGGGCCTCCCCCTGGCCGGGGGTTGCTCTAGCCCTGTGGCCCCTCATCCAGCAGGTCCCCTCAGTGCTGCTAGGTCTGCAGGAACTCAGGTTGCACACGGGCCACCTTACGGAATTCCTTGGTGTGTGTCCTTGGGCACTGCATCTCGCACCAGCTGACAGGCACCATCTGCATCCCTGGGACACCATGTGTCAGAGGTTCCCCTTCCTGAAATCAGGCTCCTCCATGCGGCAAGGGAGGAGGAAAGGAAAGGCAGGCAGGAGGCAGCACTGCCGGGTCCCTCCTACCTGCCTCACTGCGTGCCGCCACCACACCCAGCTCATTCTCCGCTGTGCTCAGCAAGTAGTTGGACTGCGAATCTCCCAGCGAGATCTGTCAGACAGGAGTTAAGGGAAAGGCCCCCAAAAGAGGTTCCAAACCCACTGTCCCTGGCAGCGAGGGGAAAGGATACGACTTTGGCCAGGACTATATCACCGGGGCGGAAACTCTTGTACACCTCTACCTGCACAGGAGAGAGCAGGCAGAACCGCGCAGTGTGTCAGGGTGCTTGTCAGCAGTGGCACAGGTGCCCCCCACCAGCAGAAAGCGGGGGCAGCTGCAGCAGCACAGGCAGCGCCTCACTGACCTTATCTTTCTCCGTGGCTCGAATATCTTCTTTCCTGAAAAAGGAGACAGAGGGATCTGAGTGCCAGCAAGTGAAGGCAACTCTGCAGCCTGCAGCAGGAGCTGCTCTGGCCTCCCTGGGTGCTCCCAGGGCACACTGGATGTCTGCCCAGTGCTTGGGGCAAAGATCCTGCTAGGACAGCTGCTGCACTGCCCAGAAAAGCCTTCCCCCTCCCTGAGGATGGGGTGCTTGGGCACCCCAACTCGTGGGGAACCAGCCCTCATCCTACCGTATGGTGCCCCGGAAGGTGGATTTCAGTGGTGTGGAGCCAATGTACAGGATGTGCACCTTAGCAAAGCGAGAGTTAATGCTGCAAACCTGCCAGGAGGAAAATGGGAATCAGTGCCAGCAAAGGCCTGCTCTCACCCTGTAGAGCAGGGAAACAGGGAAAGGGCAGAGTGCAGGCAGGACAGGGCTACATGTGGGGAGCTCATGTCTCACTCGGCCTCCTCCTCCTTGTGACCAAAGAAGTAGTGGAGATAGGATGCCCAGTGAGGAACACAACACGTGTGCAACTCAAGACACATGAATGAGGCATAGACCTGCTGTGATCCCAGTCCCTCTCCCACCATCAGGAAACTAATGCCTGGTCAGTGCCACCCTTTCTCAAAGCTGTCTCAGGCACTGCCCTCCATGCACCCTGCCCCACAAAGAGCTCTGGATGGGAGAGCAAAGAAAAACCTCCCCTCAGCCCACCTCAGGCAGGCACCATTGAGAGGGAGGTGTTCCCCCATGCCAGTATCTGGCTCATTTGAGAGCTAGGGATCCAAGGGTGCCAGCAGGCTCCCTCTGCCCTGCTGGGAGTCATGCAAAGGGTACTGACAAGCTCAGGGGCTCCTCATCCCATCCCAAATGTGTGCAGGAACTAAGGTCAGCATAAGGCAGAGCGAACAAAGACTGTGCAGTTTGCCACCGCAGAGCACTCTGTCACCCTACCTTGCATGTCACCACGGCCCCCACGTCGGGCAGGAGCTGGGGATCACTGTCTCTCACCACGGACACAATGGGCAGCTGCTGGGCAGCAGAAACGAGGGTTAGCCTGGGGCACAGGATCACGGCAGGCACGGGCCAAACCCATCGCAGCCCAGTTGGGAAGAGGCTGCGCA